AATAAAATTGGTCATAACCAAAGAAGTGTATAATAGAATTCTCTTACTTTATAAACTCTCCCTATTAATTGACACCAAAAAAATAAAAATAAATAACATAATACAATAGTTAGATACGTCTATTTCTTCATATTTTGATTATTATGAAGTTTTTGTTTTTGGTACAGTTGTTGTTAGAGACTCGAGCGGTGAATATACAAATTTGACAACTTTAAAGTTAGTTTTATTATCACCATGAATCTAAAATAATGATTTGTCTCAATTAGAGGACTGGTGTACCTTGCAATTGCCATCACATTTTTAACTATACTTTCGTTTTGTAGTTGATGCCAGCAAAACCAAATACAATTTATTTTTGGATGTATTGGTACCTTCCATTATTCTTGAAATTGATTGTGGGCGACTCAATTTTTTGAGCCACTTCTTTATAAGAAGATTCCGTGAGGTTAATTATCTGGTTATTGATATTGTTTTACCCTGAAAATTATTGATCACAAGAATTGTTTTCCATAATGCAAAAAGGATTATTGTGTTTGTTTCTTCATCTTATAAGGGTTGTGTTTGATTTGCCCAGAGGGAGGGTGGGATAAGACTAAATAATTTCGGGATAAATTTGTCTAGCATTTGGTTCAAATTATTTGATGCGGGATAATTTATTTTGGGAAACATATGTGAGATTATTTTATCCCAAAAATGGGTCAATATATTATGATATAACACTTGTGTCACAAAATAACTAGAATGGCCTCCCTAAAAGGTTATTTGGAAATAATTTATCCAGCCTAAATCTAATCAAAGAAAAGCTTTATTGTTAGTGTTGTTAGATTCCTACGTGTTGCCAATTCCGCGAACAAACTTGATTTTCAAAATTGTATTTTTTCCTCTGTTTTTGACTTTATCACTCGAGTGGAAAACTTACACTCCCAGCAGTTTGGTTTGTCTGCAAGCGAACATTCTAACGCTCGAGCGTAGATCCTTGTTTAGAAACACGCGTTTTAGTCACATCGCTCGAGCGGTCATTCCTACGCTCAAGCGGTGATCACGAATCTGACTGCTATAAATCTATGATTTAATCAGTTTTTAGAGTACGACTTCCAGATCTTCTTTGAGGCAATAAGGGTTTTCTTGTGGAGCATCTTTGTTAGTTTTCTTGATGTTAGTTTGAGTTTGACTCATGGTTTGATAAGTATACATCAAAGGGTTGTTTGATCTTTTCAATACAAAGTGTTTTTCTTTGGTGGAATCTAGAGATTCAAGCGTGGAATCCGGAGATTCAAGCGTGGAATCTTTGAAGGAGTTCGAAGCTGCTCGTGGTTGTTGATTCGACATGGATGTTGTGGATTCGACATCAAGTTGATCAATTCCAAGACGAAGGAGTTGGCGAAAGAGACACAGATTGTTAAAGACAATTTTACAGAGTTTGGGTAAATTATTTGGTAAATTTGTGTTCTTTCATTCTTCATAGTGGATTGATTAATAGCGTTTCGTTCATGATTTTTTATCACAATTGGAGGTGCTCCAATTGTGATTTTTTCCACGTAAAAATCGTTTTTATCGATTTATTATTTGTAGAACAACAATCTAAATTATCTAGTTAGTTTGGGTTGTTTGAAAATTGTTGCAATTAAATCTATTACAAATCACGAATCACATAGTTTTTTCAAGTATTGACACATACAATGGGACTTTTATTTTTATTCTTGTTTGATCAATTAATCGACTCAATTGTCTAGGAGTTATGGAAAATTTAACATGCATAGCAAAAAGAGTAACAATGTTACGATGATCACATTTCTCTTATCACATTATTTTTAATACTTGTCTTGGTTTAGTAGATCCTACTATTTAAATATGTATCCAATACAGCATGGCAAATCATATAAAAAATAAGATATAATTATTATAACATTAATTCAAAATGAATGTTATTTTTTTTTTGGTACTTTGATGAGACTAGTGATTATACTTGATTAGAGTATGATTCTTTTTATTTTCTCTTCTCTTTTCACTACAAGAAAAGTGGGTATATGAGACGGAACTATTTGCGACGGCACACTTGCCGTCTCAAAAAGTCACTTTTTGCGACGGTAGAAAATGTCGTCTCAAAAAAGCAGAGTATTTGTGACGGCACCATTTGCCGTCTCAAAAAAGCATATCATTTGCGACTGCACAATTTGCCGTCTCAAAAAATGAGAGCATTTGCGACGGTATTTTCTGCCGTCGCAAATACTCTGCTTTTTTGAGACGGCAAATTGTGCCGTCGTAAATACTCTGCTTTATTGAGACGGCATTTTCTGCCGTCTCAAAAAGTGACTTTCGTGTTTTTTTTTAATTTTTAGTGAATATTTTTAAAATTTTAAATATTTTTTTAGATGCACCTTACTTAGATGTATCTAAAAAAAAAATTATGAAAAAATATTTTTAAAAATTAATAGATACATAAAAATACAAAAAAAAAATGTATTGAATTATTGTATTTTTGGTATTTAGTGAATTTTTAAAAGATTTTTTTTATAATTTTTTTTTAATTTTTAGGTGTATTTATGTTAGGTGTGTCTAAAAATTAAAAAAAAAATACTTAAAATATTAAAAAAATTCAGTAAAAACAATATAACACGGCAAAGAAGAAAGTATAATTTTCTGAAAAGAGTTTTTGGAAAACTCTAGCCTAGCATAGTGATTGTGGTTTTGAGACAGCTTCATACATATACAGTCACAAAATGGTTTGAATAAATTCTAGTACTTTTTTCTGTCGCAAAAAAAAATTTAAAAAAACAATGTCTTCTTACTCTTTTGATATAACATTTCTCTTTTAATTCATTTTTTCATCTTCATGTCTCTCTGTCTCTATCTCTCTCTCTTCTCTTTATCTCTTTCACTCATCACTCTTCTTTCTCTGTCTGTCTGTTTCTCTTTCTCATTTTCTCTCTGTGTCTCTCGTCTATCTCTGTTCTCTCTATCTCTCTCATCTGTTTTCTCTCTCTATCTCTCTCGATCATCTCTCTTCTCTCTATCTCTCTCATTTCTTTTCTCTCTCTCTTTTATCTTTCTATCTCTCTCGCCCATTTCTTTTCTCTCTCTGTCTCTCTCTTTTTCTGTGTCTCTCTCTCGCTCATATCTTTTCGCTCTATTTCTCTCTCTTTTTGTCTATCCCTCGCTCATCTCTTGTTTCTCTCTCTTTTTCTATCTTTCCCTCTATCTCTATCTCTCTCTCTCTCTTTCTCTCTCTATCTCTTTTTATGTCTATCTCTCTCTCTCTGTCTCTCTCTCACTCATCACTCTTCTCTCTCTCTCTGCTTGTCTATTTGTCTATTTCTCCCTCACTATGTTCGCCTTGCTCACTCTCTTACTCAAATCTTCTCTATTTATCGAGCTCCTTCTCGATTTATCGATCCACTATAAACGACATCGTCTTACTCTTTTGAACATTTCTCTTTTCACTCATTTTTTCATCTTCCTATCTCTCTGTCTCTGTCTCTCTTCTCTTTTCCTCTCTTACTCATCACTCTTCTCTGTCTGTCTGTCTCTCCATTGCTCTATGTGTCTCTGTCTCTCTTCTCTGTCTCTCTCTCACTCATCACTCTTCTCTGTCTGTCTGTCTCTCTCTTTCTCTCTGTGTTTCTGTGTCTCTTCTCTTTCTCTCTCTCACTCATCACTCTTCTCTGTCTGTCTGTCTCTCTCTTTTTCTCTATGTCTCTCGTCCATCTCTCTTCTCTCTATCTCTTTCATCTATCTTCTCTCTCTGTCTTTCTTCTCTTTCTCTTCTTTTTTTCTCTCTCGCTTTCTCGCTCATCTCTTTCTGTCTCTCTCGTTTATCTCTTTTCGCTCTTTTTTTTCTTTCTCCGTCTCTCTCTCTGTCTATATCTTTTCACTCATTTTTTCATCTTTTTCTCTCTCTTTTCTTTCTCTCTCTTATTCATCACTTTTCTCTCTCTGACTGTCTATTTGCCTCTCTCTCTGTGTCTCTCATTCATCTATCTCTTCTTTTATCTATTCTCTCTCTCTCTCTCTCTGTGCCTCTCACTCATCTCTCTCTCTCTCACCACTCATCTCCTCTACCACCTTCACCACTACTGCAAACGCCATTTCACTACCACCACTACTACCACGGTCGCCATTTCACCTCTACAACTACCATTACTACTACCATCGCCACCACTCCACTACCATCACTACCACTATTGCCACTACTACTACTACCATTACCTCTATTTCACCCCTGCTACTCCACCTACTCTACTACTACTACCACAACTTCACCACTAATCTCCTTCGCCATCACCACCACCACCACCACCACCATCATCTCTTATCCACCAATTTCACCACTACTGTCGGTTCCTCTTCTCTACCATAAAATATTACCTCTCTTCTCTCTCTCACTCATCACTCTTCTCTGTCTGTCAGTCTTTGTCTCTCTCTCTTTCTCTCTCTCTATCTCTTTTCTCTATCTGTCTTTCACTCATCTCTCTCTCACCACCCATCTTCTCTACCACATTCACTACTGCAAATGCCATTCCATTATTACCACTACTACTACTGCAAATGCCATATTGACCACAAAAAATTAGCTTTATTTCAATGGAAAATATTATCCCTACTTCTACCAAATAAAAAAATAATAATAATTTTTATTCATTAAAATAAATATGAAACAAATAATTATAATTTTTATCTCTCGCTCATCTCTTGTTTCTCTCTCTTTTTTTGTCTCTCTCTATCTCTTTCTCTCTTTGTCTGTTTATTTCCCTCTCTCTCTCCGTCTCTCTCTCTCACTCATCACTCTTAATAGAAAATATTTTTCATTAAAATATTATCCTTACTTGTACCAAATAAAAAATAATAATAATAATTTTTCATTCATTAAATATTCATTTATGATGAAAATGAAAATTATTATTTATTTTTTTTATTATTTAAATATTCATTTATGATGAAAATTATTATTATTATTATTATTTTTCCCAATCCCGCCCGCTCGGTTCCCCCATTTTTTTCCATTCCCGCGCCCCCCAAAATCCCCAATCTCTTAGAACCAAAATCCCTCATTTCTACCAAATATCTCTCTCTCTCTCTCTCTCTCTCTCTCTCTCTCTCTTGTTTCGTTGTTCTTCATATCTGCATCGATCACTCTCTGACTTTCTCATTGTTCATCTCATCGCACCGATCATCGCACCGCCGATCTACTCACAGGTAAACTCTCTCTCTCAATCTGCCTCTCTCTCTCTCTCGCCCCGATCGTTGTTTTTTTTGTTTTGTTTTATATATATATATATATATCAGATATCTCTCTGATCTGATCTGTCTCCCTCACTCTCTCATCTCATCAGTCTCACTCTCTGGTTTTGCATCTTTGTGTTCCCTTCGCCTAGGGTTTTTGTTCAATTGGATTCTCTCATCTGTAGGTACGATCGTTTCCTAGGTTTTCCAACAATATATCAGCGTTCGCGAATTAGGTTTATAATAAGTTCTTATAATTTGTATTTTTTGTTTATTGAAAGGCTCTTCGCTCTTTGGATTTGTATCCGATAAACTATTTGCTAGATTTTTTTTATTATTATTTTTTTAATTTTTTAATGTGTTGTAACCTTGTTTGTCTGAAACTGTTGTCTTCTCACAGTTTTCTTTCTGTCTCTCTCAAGAATTCTTGTTTTGTTTAATGTGTTGTAACCAATTTTTTTGTGTTGTTTTGCTTTTTTTCTTTTGGTTTTTTGGTAGCCTGGATATATTTTTTTTTTTGTATGGGTTATTGTTTACTGTGATGTAAATTTTGCCATTACCAATGAATAAATGTCAATACAAACTACAAAGGAAGAGAGCATCGTTTGCAATTTCAGAGGAGTTAATTGTGAGAGTGTTGTGCCCCTCTGACATGATTGGTCGCGTTATTGGCAAGGATTGGCCGCGTTATTGGCAAGGGAGGGGGTTCAATCAAAAGTGTGAGACAGGCCAGTGGTGCTCGTATTGAGGTTGATGATAAGGCTGATTGTGATGAATGTATCATCTCCATCACCTCAACAGAGGTGTAGCTTTCTTTCTGCTTCCTTTTTATTTATATTCTGAGTTCTTTGTCAAGTGCTCAAAAGGTAGCAGGAGGACAGGGAGAAACTGCTCTGCCTCTTGATTTCCTCACTGTTTTTAACTTTGATTGGGGAATTGTGACCCAGATCAAGTTACTACACACACACACACACACATATATATATATATGTACATTTGGATCATCTCTACATGCTATCATGGGTTTGTAAAATACCTTTACAATAAAACATGTGTTTATAAATATTTAACACTTGATGGTTGTGTCATGACTTCTTTAACTTGCTGAGGCACGACTTGTGTTTCTTGCAACTCTAGAGTGTTTGATGCAAAATAGCATTATTTTTTTGAAGAATTGTTTTTTACTTCATTTATTGTGCCCCATTTATTTTTATTTTGATGACTGTATGTAATGGCATCTAAATACCATCATTTATCTGTATCCATTTATTTAATGTTGGATCATGTTCTGAGTTGTTGGGTTGGGAAACCTGCTGTTGAGGGTATTCTTCATTCCATGTGTCTTGATATTTTTGCACCACTTTTTTTGGCAGTCCATGGATGACATGAAATCCATAGCAGTTGAAGCGGTTTTATTGCTGCAAGGGAAGATAAATGACGAAGATGATGACACTGTAACTATCCAGCTTCTTGTTCCATCTAAAGTTATTGGTTGTATAATTGGAAAAAGTGGTTCAATCATAAATGAGATGGCTTAGGCATGCTTTCTTTAGGCAGCCTTTATGGATATGGATCTTTATCAGTATGTCAATGTTGTGGCATTTAATTTCCTTGTTATTTCCTTGGTGTTATGGTCATTTGATATTTTTAAAGCTTGTTATTCATTTTTTTTTTCCAGTTACAAGTTTTCTTTGGTACATTTATGGCAATGTGCTTGCTTATTTTTCTATATTGTTTTAATTTTGTTACTTAGGCATTGCTTCCTAAAACTGAAAATTATCTACTGAAAACTTTAAAAGTTGAATTTTTTAATTTGAAAAACTGTTTGGTATCTACTGAAATTTATGTGCTAAATAAATTTATTGTCTGCTCTTTTTCCTGCATTGGTGTTTATGTCAGTATTTTATTATTTAATTTTTTCACTGTTTTGTCCACTTAATTAATTTTTTAACTCCACACCTGTTCTTATGGTTCTTATTTGAGTGGTTATTTCTCTTTTGATAGATGGGAGACAATGGCTATGGATCTTTGTCTTCATACTCGTCAAAGATGTATGGAGGGTTAGTATTATTATGGCCATGAGTTTTTTACTATATTGAAAGACTCTTCAATAACTCTCATTTTGGGCGAAATTAAAGATGGCTGCAGAAAAGAAGGTAAGAATGGTTGTGGTGGTCATACTTTATGAACATAATAAATATACTCACAGCACAGTAATTAATTTTAATGTGTGATCACTGTGTGCATGGAAATTATAAATAGCAATCTTTTTTTTTTTTTGCTTTGAAGTTAACTCTCCTTGACAACCACATTTCATTATACTTTTAGTGTGGAACATAAACATTCTATATGAAATTTGCATTCTTATCTCAGGAGAACTAGCATATAATTTTTCGATGATACTATTATTGCTTCAATTTTCTGGTTAGAGTTTCCATTTCATATTTTTCATCTCTTTGGAGATATGTTTACTCAAAAAATCGTAATAGCATATTTAATATTCATAATGAATATCAAATAAGACAATCAACCAACATAGCTAAATTATAATGATTGTTTTCGATGTATGGGTTGATTATTCGTAATGAGAGTGAATAGATACCGCCCATATAGATATAGCATCTATACGAAATACCCTTTTAGTTGGGTCTTTTTTTTATTTAATTTATCTACATGCCAAGTTATTCTATTTGATATCATGTTAGGTAGTCAGAAAACATTTTCACAAATTGATCCTGTTTAAGGAGGGGAATTTGAAGTGGACTGTTGAGACAACTATAAAAGTAGAAATGAAACCATTTTGAGTGGGTGGGTTTTTAACATAATGAAAGAATGCTTGATTTGGGATGATTTGCTCATCTGCATTCAAGACCAATAAATTTGATGGTGGGGATGTGGTAGAACTAAGGTGTAACATGAATAAGAAGACAACCGAAAAGGGCATGGGTTGAGAAGTGATAGTGCATTTTGGTCTTTGATTTAGCGGAACATGTCGTCTTGGAAAAAGTACAAGCATTAAATGGCACAATGACATATCGTCTTGCAAATTGTGCTACACTTTGTTTCACATTAATCCCAAACCTAAGTTCAGATCATGCTTGGGCCTGCTCATGGCCTAGCCCTAAGTTAGTTGCCATTTTAGCTTCTGCTATTATTAATATGAGGTTTGTAAAAGTTTTATCTTATTAAGCTAACAAGGGATAGAGATCTGACAGAAGGGATTTTTGGGGATTCATTCATGTGGCAAGCTCATATTCCCCAAAGTTTACTTATAGTGGATGTGAGGTTATTTGATATTGGGCTGGCATTAGCCAGGTGTCCAAATACAATAATAAAACCCGAGGTTGGGCATGCTCTTAATTGAGGTCTTGTCAGAAAATAGCAAAAGAAAATATTAACACAAAATGGGCATAACAACTAACTTTTGGTGCACATGTTACAGGTGGGTGCAGCAAAGGCAAAACAATTTTGCAAGGCTTTTCAAAGCATTCACAAGAAACTTGTATGCATATTCTACTATCGAAGAATCATAAAATTTGTCCTCCATTAAACGCTATTATTTTACTTTCCTGATTGGACTTTTTTTTATTTGTTATTATTTATCTATATAAAATAATGACTCATGTAGGTGTATGAAGAAATGAGTTTAGATGCTGCCAGGAGTTTTTTGAGCCCACCTAAAAGTTATGGAGAATAGTTTCTTGCCTCCTGAATTTTCTTGTTATTCTGTTTCTGGTGGATGTTTTACTTGGAGAGAGAGACAGAGAGAGAGAGAGAGAGACAGAGATTGTAGTTCAAATTGAAGTAGTTCATGTTGCAAATTTGATTTTGATTTATGTTATTTAAATTTGTGAACAACATTATGTATGTATTATGCGACATTATGTAGTGGTATAATTTTTATTGTTATGAATTTTTATTTATGTATTGTTATGAATGGAACAACATTATGAATTTTCATCATGTGTTAACTTTTGTTTATGTATGTATTTATATTATTATGTAATTATCGATTTTTTTTTTAGTTATTTTTCATTTAATACAGGTTATTTTCATATTTTTAATAATTTTAATACAGTTTTTTTTTTAAAATTTTTTTTGAGACGGCAGAACACCCTGTCTCAAAAAGAAAATTGAACCAGGCTTTTTGCGACGGTACCTATACTGTCGCAAAATGTATGGAATTGAATTGAAAAATAAGGCCTTTAGCAACGGTATCATTGCCGTCGACAATAGTCATTAGCGACGGCTCAAGTTGCTGTCTCAAATACACTTTTAGCGACGGCAATACTGTGCCGTCGCAAAAACTCAGATTTTCATCCATTATTGGCGACAGAAATTTGCCGTCGCAAAAAAGGCATTTTCCCGTCGCAAAAAACAAAGGCGACGGCAGCCGTCGCTAAAACCCTTTTGCAACTCCTCTTGTTGCGACCCCCACATGCCGTCGCAAAAAGCCATTTTACCGTCGCAAAAACGTTTTGAGACGGCGTTTGGGGTATTTGCGACGGCGTTTTACCGTCGCAAAAAACAATTTTTTTTGTAGTGTTTGTTTTTTTCTTCGGGTCATTCTATGGTCTATGCAAATTAGGATAAAAATTAGTGTAAATCATCTAACATTCCAATCCACAAATTCTGATTTGTCCTATAAATTTCAATAAGCCAAAAAAAACAAAAAACAAAAAAGTAAACAAACAAATAAATAAAATAGTGGAGTAGCCTTGCACGTTGTGGTTGAAGGATAAAGTCATTCTCATGAAAGGTGACTCGGTTGTCCATGGTAGTTTGTGACAAGCTATGCCCCTAACTAAATGAAAAATGATAGTCTGAAGGACCAAAAAAAAAAAATGAATAATATGAACACATCATCACATGCCTCAACTAGTGTTGTGTCCAGTGACCAATTGCTTGGGAGACCAAGTTAGGTCCCATATGGATGGTTCCATCCATCCACTGCCCTTTTCAGATCCCCCTTTGATACCCAATAAAACACACATGAAAAGTTACTTTCTATACACTCATTGGTTTGTACCATTATACAACTCTATTCTCTAAGTTCAGATATATATCCTATTTTCAGAGTTAAATCATGAGCGTAATTACTTACTACCACTCTCTGTATGAAACAAATTGTAGCAGTACATGTTTGTATTAAGTGCCCAATTGATATTTTGAATTTTGGGCACTTGAGCAAAAATTTAACCAGCACTAACCAAATCTTTATTATTTGAGAGAATTTAAACTAAATAATTTTTTTTTATTTTTTTATTTACTTTAGTTTCTTACTACTAGACACACACAGTGAAACCCATTATTTTGTTTCAAATGTGATGGTAGAGGTAAAATTGATACGATTTTGGAAATTTTAAAAGTAAAATTAAAATTATTCGAAATTTAGGAATGTCATTGAAAATTGGGACAAAGTATAAAAATAAAAATGAAATCTTCTTGAGAATTTGTCCTTAAAAGTAATCAAGAATTGATATTAAGCTCAAATCTATGGAGGGAGAAAGTTGAGAGAAAGATGATTTCAAGTCATGTCTTAAAATATTCCTGTGTAAACTTTCTGATCTTGCTCTCTTCAAAGAACAGTTAATTATGCCTTTTTTTTTTCCCCACTCTTCAATGTATAGTTAATAAAAAAATCCTAGGAATCTTAAATATTCTATTAAAATTTTTATCAAATACTTACCTCACTGTGTTTGATTTTAATTTTTTGAATTCAATTTTTTAAAATTGAGTTATTTATTTATTTTTTTTGGCTTTAGTGAATATTTTGAAAATTTTAAACAACTTTTTTTTACTTTTTAGATGCACCTTCATTAAATGTATCTAAATGTAAAATATTCATAAAAAAATATTTTAAAAAATCAATAAATATACAAGAATATGAAAAATATACTAAACTTTCACATATATATATTTTTTTTATTTTTGGTATTTAGTAAATTTTTTAAAGATTTCTTTCACGAACATTATACTTTCTAAGTATATTTATGTTAGGTATATCTAAAAATTAAAAAAATTGCTTAAAATATTAAAAAAATTCAATGAAAACAAAAAAAAAATGCAAAAAACAAAAAATTTTAATTTTTTAAAAAGTGAATTCAGAATTCACAAACCAAACAAACTGTATATGATCAGTGTGGATCTCACATGAATGTGAGTCTTGCACTATGCAATTGTTATGTTAAAATTATAATAAAATATTTTATATCCCTAATATTGCTCATGCTTAATTATGTAGTGAGTATTTGTGTGTTGAAGTGATTGAGAATTGCAAATTGCATTTGAGTTCCAATTTTGCTCGTAATTGGATGGTGTTGGAGTGACAGTGGACATGGTACAGCATTGGATTGCTTTGCTAGTGGTAGAAGTGGTGTCAATTTAAATGGGTTTAAATAGATACTCATATTCAACACGTGTAAATCTAATTTAATATACTTGCACATTGTAGGAAAATTCATACTTTTTGTGAGAGAAGTTATACATTTTGTGAGATGAAAATTATGAATTTTGAAGTTATGATGTACACTTAAAAGTCATGTATAACTAAAGTTATATTTTTTGTGGTTATACATTTTATAAAAATTATACATTTTGTGAAAGAAATTATGTTTTTTTGTTGCACATCATAGCATTCTCCCCATATACACTTTACAATTACAGAAGAAAATGACATAATTTCATACTTTTTGAGTCATAATTAAAATTAAAAAAAAAGAAGTCATAACTAAATATAAAAAAGTTATAATCAAATATCTCAAAATAATGTCATAATTAAAAAAAGAAGAAGTTATAATTAAAGAAAAAAATGACTAGCTAAAAATATATATAATATGAGAGTGTGTCTAATGGAATTTTCCTTAAACTAGATTTGATTGAGTTTTCACATTCAATAATACAAAAAACCTATTTTTTAACCCTTAAAAAAAAAATATGGATGTAGTACAGAAAACTCAAGTCAGCCGACTCAAAACATATGGCATGAAATTTTCAAGAAAACACTATTATACATATCTCATGTTGGATACACTTTAGTTCTGTCATTTTTTTTTTCTATAGTTGTGACTAATTTTTTCTTTAATTATGACATTATTTTAAGATATTTGATTATGCATCATATAATGTTTAGTTATGTTTTTTTTTTTTAATTTTTTTTTTTAAGTTATAACTCAAAAAATATGAAATTATGTCATTTTTTTTGTTTAATTATAAGATGGATGTGGTGCATCATGAGAGAGATTTGTATGCTGATATGATAGATCCATGATACCTTCTATTATTGTGATTGGTGAAAAGTAGTGGAATAAGGGGATAACCTCCTCTCTATACTTGCATGTCTCCATACCCATTCATTTTGTTAAAAAAACATGATTTATTTCTGTATTTATAATTGTCCGATAAATCTAATTTTTCGTATAGATAACCTTTATTATAAAGCCTACGAAGTAGATGGTTTAAATAATCAAAATGAGTTTAAATTAAAACTCACAACAACAACAACAAAAAAAGAATAAATATAAAGAGATAAAGTATGAAGGAGAGGCATATACATATTCAATATTCAATATATATTATTTTTATTAATAAAAATAATTAAAATTTTAATCAAATGTATTGAGATAATTTTTAAATTCAAATAGAATAGCATGCATAAGTCAAATGAAAATAAAACAAGCATTAAATTGATACGTTAATATTTACCCATCCAAACCAGGAAAAGGAAGTTCCTCATCCACCACAACTTGGGGTCAGGATCCTCTTGTCCCCATTCTTTTCCTAGTAATTTTCCTAGTATGCTTTTGTTTTATTTTCATATGACAATCGGTGAGTCTCTGGTGGGTGGAATTCCAGAATCATAGTTCTACCCATTGCTTTGAGTATTGTATTTAGTTGGTGTTTTTAAAAATTGATTCCACATTCATTTTTTAAAACATGTCTACTCGGTCATCCCTCGGATTTTTGGCCGATTGATCGGAACAGTATTTGATTTTTTTTTTAAATAAAAAATATTTTTAGAATTTTTTAAAATTTTTTATGGGTTTTGAATAGAATTTTGAGTAGTATATTTGGTTATGAGGTGTGAATTTTTTAATCAAATATCACATTCAAAACTTATAACGAAACAAAATTTTCACACTCAAATAATAATTTCAAAACTTACAAATTTAAAATATAACTCTATTATCAAATTATAATTCTAAAACTCTACCGAACCCAACTATAATTTTTTCCAAAATGTAAAGCTGAGATGAGATACTCATCCTTGTTTTAATAGATTTCTCCCCGAAATTTCCTCTACTCCGCGTTGCCCTCCTTCCTTGTTATATAGATTTCTAGCCTTTGGATTGGATCAATCTAATGGTTCACAATTTGTGATGGACTACTGAGTTGATTTGTGAGTCTTTCAGAAGGTAAAATCGTCATTTTACTTTCTTGTTTTTATGTATTGCCGGTTTTATTAGAGTCTCTATTTATGTTATTTTAGAGTCTTTGTCATTGCTGTTTAAGCTGAGGCTTTTCCCCTATTAAGTCTCTTTTGTATCTTATTTCTCAAACTAGGTCTAGTTTGGACGGATTTTTCAAACTAGGCTAAAGCGCTATTACAAATCGCGCTTTCACTGTTTGGAGCCCAAAACTTGATGAATAATGAAGGTGCTATTGTGAATCGCGATTTTAATTAAGAAAACGCTGTTTAAAATAGCGATTTTAAGGTAAATTTTTTTTTCTGAATAAAACGCTATTCTAAATAGCGCTTTATTTGTGGATTCGTTTTGTGAAGAAAACGCTATTTCAAATAGCGATTTTACTGTCCATTTCTTTTGTGAAGAAAACGTTATTCGTAATAGCGTTTTCATTGTTAAACGCAAATTGAAAGAACGCTTTCAGTGTTCATTTATTTCTTGGTAAGCAGATTATTTTTTAATATTTTA